CCTGCTGAGGTCTGTTATAGCTACAAACACCAGGCACCAACATTGCCTGTATCTTGCCTGTGCTCTGTCACTGGCAATTCATTTCTCCCACTAAGACCCTGGAAATTGCTCGTGTGGGTGGATATTGGCACCTTGTTGGCACCCTGTTGACTGTAGCAGGTCACTTACCCCTTCCCAGCAATGCCCTTCCTTCCCTCCCCACTGTCTCGCAATGTGCCACAAAGATCCAGTACTTTTAAGATGCCTGACACTTTATTTACAGTTGTTTTTTCTGCAGAGGAAATGTTACCTCATCTGGCCTATGACTGACAGGTTTCTTTTCAGGAAGCCTTGCTCAGCTACTTAATTGTCTTGGAAAAGGCTGTCAGTCATGCCCAAACTATCTGGTTTGCAGTTGCTGCTCTCCCTTCCCCACCCTAGGTGCAAGCTCTCACCAGAGCATCTCGGGTTTTCCTTTATAAAATGAATGAACGAGTGACCTGCAGGCTGCCTGTCTTTCATAAAAAGCTTTTCAGCAATGACAAAAATAAACATCTCCATTCCAGCCTTTGCTAAAGCGAGTTGTGGCAGAGGTGCCCAAGATCTTGTAGTTGATTGTAAAAGGATAGGACTGTCCCATCCCTTGACTAAAACCTTATCTGCTCCAGTAAGCAGGGCATGGTTTCAGTGCTGCTCTTGCAGTGCTAGAGTTGAAGCTGTTCTTCAGCATATAGGTGGGTTCAAACATTTTGGGATCCTTGAAAATTCTATAAAATTGTGAGAAGGACATACAAATGTAGCTAAGCGCAGGCTCTGCAAATGGACTAGATGGGGAATGGAAATGTGAAAGCGTTAATCTAACTGTCATGTGTGTGCCATTTAATGCTGCCATTGCTGTGGCCGTGGGACTGTTAACCTGCATTCAGACTCTCTGACTGGGGAAGACTCTCTGCTTGACTGCTCTCTGCTTTCTAACCCGGCTGCTGACCTCCTGGATGAGTTTGCTCCTATCACTATTTCAGCTCCAGCTCATAAAGGTAAAAACTCCCCCTTGTTCCAATGATAGAGTATGTTGTAGGGCAAGATCTTAGGCGATGCTCTGGCCCATAATCCCACGGTGCACTGTAATGGGTCGTGCTGTTGTCTTGTTCCTCGACTGAGTACGTGGGCTGAGGAAGCCCAGCTGCAGAAGAACAGTGGCTCAGTCTATGGTGGCTATCAAGTTGTTTGTTTTTTTTGGGGGGGGGGGGAACTGCAAAGGAGTGAAACCATTGTTTAGTGGCTAAAGCACATGACTTGATAGAGGAGGTTTGGTTCTCTCCTCAGGTCTCCTCTCACATCTCTGTGCAAAACCCTTGGAAAGTCATTGAATTTCCAAGGTAGGACCTGACTGTGCTCAAGGCCTGATTTTTTTCAGAAGTGCTGAGCATCCTCTGCTGTAGCTGAAGCGTATGTGGGTGTTCAGCACTTCTGATCCAGGGTCCTTCACCATCACTGGTCAGCATTTGAACTGAGAGCCCAAGTTTTAACATGCACCTTTCCTGCTTTGAGTTGCCAGATAGCTGTTTTCTTCAAATACTAACCTGTTACAGTGTGTGCGCATGCAGGTGTGGATGTGTGTAGGTATGCTCCAAAGACTATATGAAAAATGCTGATATATGATGAGTAATATGCAAATCAAGTTGGAAGTAAATATTGGATGGTAAATGCCTCCCTCCCGGGGATTCTTCTCTGCATATGGCATTGAAAAGACGGGCCCAAAGGGAACACTAACCTCTGGGTGCCCACTTGCTGTGTTTAGCTTGGCTCATTTGATAAGCATCCCTATAGCAACAGGATTGGTCCACAGAGGAAGTGCAGTTGGACTTATCTGTAATCCATTTTTACAGTTGATGGCCTTTTCAGACAGGATTTTTCTTGTACTTGAGCTTTTGAATTTAAACAAGCAATTTTTTTAAGTGCTCATTGCTCTAATACACTTCCATGCCACTCGATTTGGAATAAGTGCCCTGAAATTTATGTTCAGAAGCTATTATTCTGTGTTTGGTACACAGCAAAATGGAAGATAAGCTGAAATGTTCTTGTGTGTGACTTGGTAATGAGAAACAAGAGAAGGAATTAGCTGGATTCTGTATGACTTCCCTTGGATTGCACTGTTGTTCACACTGGTTTGAGGAGATTCTTAAAGGTGACAAGAAAAGTGAGATTTTTATCAGAAGCACAAGGACTCCTGAGCACTTTATGGGTGACTTCTTTTAAAACCTATTATTGTTACAGTTCTAGATGATTTCATTACCCACAGAGATGTCCAAACCTTTTTTTTTAATCATTCCACATTCTTGGCTGGAATAAGAAATGGTGGCTGGAAACTGCAGAAGCGAATTGCTGATGCCACAAAATAGTATGGAGAGCACAAATGTAATAGGACTCATCAGGTTGGATGTTTGCATGGCAACAAAAGCATCCAGAGATGGGTTGATGTTCTGTCCAGCCCACTGACTCTCAATCAGTAAGTCATGCTGAAATGTTGTGTGTGTGTTGCTAGACTGCATTTTGCATTTTTGTGCTCTTATTGGAGCCCATCAAGTCTCTGAGGCCCCTGCTTTGTTTTTACACTACAAAAAACTGAATCTCATATGGGTAGGACAGCAACAAATGTTCTCCTAGAGTGTACATTACTGGAGCTGAGACAGCATGATGAAGAGAGAGATGCATCACTTAAGAAACTCATCCAAAATTGTGTACAGTGTATTTCTTGCCTATATTTTCTTGCTTCCTAAGGAAGATGCCTAAATGACTACACAATGCAACAATGAATGGCTTCATGTGCAGATGTTTGCAACTATAGCAAATTTTACTTCTTGGTGAAATTTCAGTGACTTTTGCATTGAGCAGAAAAAGCTTTGACTCCCAAAAGTCATTTCATGTCACATTAAGGAGGCCCTTTGTTACCTATGTGGGCAGACTGCTGAAGAATACAAGACTTACCTGCAACATGTACTCTGCTTGTGTGATTCTGGCTTCTCCACAGAGTGATTATGTAGTGAATTATCTCCCATCCCTTCTTCCTAAGATCACTGTTTCCATAGAATTCTTCTTCCTTTCACTAGCATAGCCAAAAACCCACTAGTACATTAGTCAGTTTTGGTTTAAAAGGATTTTTTTTTTTTATCTGGGAGGGACAGTTCTTGGCAAACATGTATGCTCATTCCCAGAAATGCAGCTAGGGCATCTACTTCTCATTGCATTTAAGGGACAGATTGTGGAAGACGTCTAAAGGGATCAAGAAGCACAGAATGGTAAAAGTTCCTAAGTGCAGGGTAGGTGTCTCCATAATGCTGACAGATCTCTAGAGGGACTATCAGCAATGCCTAAAGGAGGTTAGGCTCCAAACTCCACAAAAATTTCAAAGCCATTTCAATAGGAGTTAGGCTCCTTACCTGCTTTAGGTGCTTTTCAAGTCTCACTAACTATCTAAGTGCGTCTTGGGGCACCAACTTTTCTTTGAGAATGTAGCCCTGC